TTGTTATTATTATTATAGTATATTTATTTATTTTTTTCCCCCACTCAACTTGTATTCACATTAATACCGTAAGAAGAAATGCTCTATTATTGTTACCTTAAAAGAAAACTAGCAAAATGATTTTTTGTTCTAGAGAGGATTTTTGATATGCCATTAATAATAGAATCAACCTTAAAATCTTTTTTTGGCTATTTTTGATGAAGATATAGGCGATTATATACGATTTTACAATGACGTCACTGGCGAAAAATTAACAAAAGATCGTGTAAATAGCGCCGCGTAGGGTATCCACCGCGTAGGGTATCCGCCGCGTACGATCTTTGCGTGCATGCTGTAACAATCACAATTTACAGCCATGGTTACAGCATACACGCAAAGATCGATTTTAAGGTTGATTCTACTATTAATGGCATATCAAAAATCCACTCTAGAACAAAAAATCATTTAAACAATTAACAACTTATATATTCTCGATCTTCAGATGTAGTATGGTCGTAGATATGGCAGACTTCTGCATTTGGAAGGCAATTCTTTTCTGATTGCTTTAGTATTTGTTTCAATTGCTTTGCTTGAAAAAGGTCACCGTCATTTTTCACTTTTCTATTGGTGCTATGTTGACCGCCCACCGCGCGTAGAGGCTGCATTTTGACGCTTTGGTATAGCCTTCCGCTACCATTGTCAGAGGTCTACAGGCCCTGGCCTTAAAAAAAGAAAAAAAAAAAGAAAAAAAAAATTACCTCCAGCGACTTCGTTGGCTTTAAATTGCCATTTCGGCTGTTTACCAATCAAATATCTTGTTGTTCATTCCCCAGTAACCGGAAAGCTGAATATTCATAGATTCTTCTTATATAAAATATATTTATTTATTTAAACAATATTTTGTGAGGGTGGTCCATCCACCCTGAGCTGATCAATTGGGACCCTCAGTACATACAATTAGAACATAAGTATAAAAATTAAACTTAATCTTTAACATAAACAAATTAATTAAATTAAACCAGAATATGAATTGCCATTGGATGAAAAAAAAAAGTCACCATCAAAACACTAATTTCAATATGAATGAACAATCCTGTCAAGGCATTATGCCCGCAAAAATTCGAAGCTTTGTTATAGGCTTCCGCCATTGTCAGAGGTCTGGAATCCACCATCAACTAAACTGCCTTAAAAAAAAAA